CAAGGAAATCTCTTTGTTGAAAGATAAATTGTGTGCACACTTTGTACACAATTAAAATTTCAAAGTCTACCGGTATTGATAACATCCCTGCTATAGCTCTTAAATTGTCCGCGGAAGTTATTGGTCCTTCATTAACATGGATTTATAATCTTTCAATCAAAACTGGGATATAAGTTGATGAATGGAAAAAGGCGTGGGTAATGCCAATTTTTAAATCTGATGATAGACAAAGATGTGAAAATTACCGACCGATATCTATATTGCCTATTGTCAGTAAAATACTAGAGAGATCGGTTTTCAACCAGATTTATAAGTTTTTGAATGATAATTCGCTGCTATCTAAACATCAATCTGGCTTTCGGCCTAAGCATTCAACTTTAACAACACTCATTCAAATGTGTGACACACTTTATGAGAACACGGATAATGGTTAGTTGAGTGGTGTTGTTTTCCTTGATATTAGAAAAGCTTTTGATTCTATTGATCATACAATCTTATTGCAAAAGATGAATGATCAATTTGGAATAAAAAATGTGGAACTGGATTGGTTTAAGTCCTATCTAACTAATAGAGAGCAAGCATGCATTGTCAACGGTGCAATGTCATCACCTAAAACGATTGTGTGCGGAGTTCCGCAGGGATCAATTCTTGGTCCCTTGCTGTTTTTATTATATATTAATGATTTACCCGAATGCCTCGAAAAAACTTCGCCACACCTATACGCTGATGATACTCAAATTTCTACTTCTGCCAAAACTATTGAGGAACTTACTGAAAATCTAAATAACGACCTGAAAAAAGTCGGTGAGTGGCTTGCTCGAAATAAACTGCAACACCACCCCCAACCAAGACCAAATTAATGTATATCGGTTCAAAGTATAGTACTGATACTATGACATATGATATTCCAGTAATGATGAATAACCAATTCATAACTCTTGCTCATTCATACACATGCCTTGGGGTTAAACTTGATGAAAACCTTAATTGGCATGAGCATGTTGAAATGATTTGTAAGAAAGTTGGGGCCGGAATAGGAGCAATGCAACGAATTAAGCCATATGTTCCTATAAATACCCTGCATACCATTTACAGAGCTTTGATAGAACCGTATTTTGATTATTGTAGTCCATTATGGGACGTCTGTAACCAACAGCTGAAAGATAAGCTTCAAAAGTTCCAAAACCGTGCAGCGAGAATTATAACCGGCGCCAGCTATGAAATAAGGTCTGCTGATGTTCTTCGATCCCTTGCTTGGGAAAATTTAGAGATAAGACAACGTACAACTAAATCCACATTAATGTATACAGTCCTGAATGATTGCGCTGGGCCGAACTTGAAGGATGCTCTAATGAGAAGGGACCTTGTTCAAACCAGTTATAATCTTCGCAATACTTATACTGACCTTACCCTTGCTAAGCCAAAACGAGAATTTCTAAAAAAAGCTTTAAGTATAGCGGAGCTAAATTGTGGAATAGTCTTCCTTCTGATGCGAAGCTAGCGCAATCAATTTATTCTTTTAAAAACTGCCTGAAAGTTTCACGCTAACATCTTCTAATATACTGTATATGCATGCTTTAGAAATATGGGTCACACCGTTTGGAACTTAATTCTTGTATTGTAAATAGTTGTATATAATTCTTTATTCTTTTCTATATCATATTTGTAATTTTTAATAGTAACAGACGTCCCTCGTGAAAATCAACAAATCGTTGACGAGGCTAACGTCTTTAAATAAAGTTTACATACATACATACATACACAATTCTGAATAAATACACATACTGTATACGCTCGAGAAATGCACATAGAATCAGGGGCGGACATATCGATTTTGACTGGGAGGGTGTAATCACGAAATGAGACCGACTCACCACTGAAATGTGAATCCAGACTGACTCTTGGTGAGTTGGTGTGTTGCAATAAAATTGAGTACAAAGCATGGAAATTGATGGAATTTTGCAAGAACACGTACAGTTTGCTGTGAAACGTTATATTTTTATTAAGTGTCCACGCTTATTCAGGTTTGACCACGGATTAGCGATTTCGTCAAGATCGATCGTGTCTGTTAGATCGCGCTCACACGCAAAAAGTCAAGAGTTCACCAAGGTGTTCCTGGTTCATTACTGAACGCATAACAGTTTTCACTGATTTCAGCTTTGAAAAGCTGCGCTCGGCGGGTGCGGATGTTACAGGAACTGTCAAGCGCGTAACTATAGGATTTTTGATTGATCGAGACACTTCTGGGGGGTCTGGGGGCATCCCCCCCTTTCTGCATTCTGGGAGCAGTTCAAACGAAATTTCATAAACAGTGACACAATGACTATAATTTTATACTGTAGTTTTCCCCCAATCCTGAGTCTAAGAATTACATTTTTGGTCGAACATCATTGATCAGGTGCATAATAAAAAAGTGTTTGTGCTCAATTGTTGTAATATTTGGGTGCTGGCCCACACTTTTGTTATTGGGGTACTTGTGCACCCATACAGCCTCCCATTTCTTACGTCACTGCAGGGCAAGAATAATGCTTCTTTACATAGAGAGAACTATACAGTCTGTCATTGAAATTGAACTCGATTGACTCATATACCTAGTTATGGGCCTGACTGTAAGCAACAATTGGAAACATCGCCTAGTCAGTGGAAACAATTTTTCGCTCCGTGATTCCAGATAAACCAGTGCGTCGTTCACTGATCGAATTTCTTAATTGCAGTAGGCACATAAAACTCTTTGGTAACAAAATGCATATGCATATCGTGTTACATGTGAACATACTTCCTAATATAACTCGGCTAGAAATTCGTTTTTGCACTTTACATCTTAAAAATATAGTTTAGAGGACCGGAGAAATATTGTAACTAATGTTAGCTATATTTTGATCGAGATTCATCGCATTTTGGAGTCTGCTTTTGGGGGTTTGCAATTTTCGCTAATATAGAATATCACCCGTGAATGACATTGCAGAACCTAAATTCCAAATAAAAGTGCCAACACGTAATTGTGACATATGGATATCTCCATGTTTGGAAAGTAAATGGAAACTTCATTCCTTTGCGTGTGTTTTGAATGATAATTCGTTCATAAACTCGCGAAATAAGTACGTAATATTTCTTCATATTCTGAGCTGTTTGATCCGTTTGAGCAAATTCCAACTCAATACTCAATAGTCTGAGTCTATCTCGAGTTTCGAAAATATTTAATTTGCTTCGCAAAGCACTGCATGTAAACAAACGCATAATTTTGAGACCAACTGCACGTAGTTTGAGACCGACTGGATCATTTCTCTG